CTTCAAGAAACCTACCTGCAAAGCTACCTGAAAACTATGTGCAAGGACAAAAGCTGTTTTAAACAATAAGGGTACTCAAACCAAATGTTGATTTGATTTAGTTAATTAAAGTTAATTGATAAATAAAATCTATTTATGACATTATTTTTGAAAGCATCCTCACTTTACAGTATTTTTACACAAGTGCCTAAAACTTTTCACATTACTGTAGCTTTGCAGGTAGGTTTCTTGAAGCATCTTGGAGACGTTGCCACAGTTCTTCTGGATTTAGTCTGTCTCAGTTTTTTCTGTTTCTTTATGTCATTCCAGACGGACTGGATGATGGTGAGATCAGATCTGTGTGGAGCACTGGCTGTTGTCAGACTCCTTGTGCCTACAAAAATCTCACTACAATTAATGGCAAAAGGAATGCTTGGAAATGTAAACTGATATTTCCTACTGACACACTACAGCAAAAGATATAAAAAATAACTGGCTTAAAACCATTTTTTGTCTGTGAAAATACTAATAGCCTAAGACTTTTGCACAGTGCTATGCATGCTTCATTTGACATTACATGCATATAATTAAAATGAACAGAACTTTGTCAGAATTTTATGAATTTATGATGAGCTGTTATGTCTCAAAGTTTTTGTCTGATAACAAATGTATCTGATAATCCAGTCATACAAACTCACCTCTGCTGCTTTTCTGCTGGCCTGTTAACTGCAACGATGGAGAAGATGCAGTAGTTCTAGTTTCTAAATCTTTCTTGTTGTGGATGTGTTGAGCCAATGGTCCAGGATGTAACTTCTCATGTTCACTTACATTCTGAAAACTAATCAAGCTTCGGCATTACAATACTGCAACAATACAGTCTACAGAGAACTGGAGACTGTTTTTCCCAACAAACACCACATGTCTGCAGCTAAGGTTCACTCCCTTCAGAAAAATTCTTCACAGGAACACCCACAGATGTTTTCTAAATATATCGACACATGACAATGACAGTGAAATTTCAATTGTTTTGTCCTGCCTCTGCATGTGCAAAGAAAATGATTACAGTATTTGCCAAGTAGACTTTCTTGTATTTCTCCTAATAATGTTGAACATTTTAATTTTGGCTAAATTACTATTTGTTAAAATTATTATTATTAAAAAACGATGAGACAATGTGGGTGTAACAAATTGCATAAGAGCTAAAGTATTACCATAAACATGGTGAGACATGTTGAGATGACATTCAGCAAAAGATTAATAGCAGTGACACCAGATATTTTGGAGGTGTGTTTAAAATCATCTGAAACAATTAAATTGAGATGCAGTCAAGCAAACATGTTGGTAAAGATTTTTTTAAAATCTTAAATGCTTGATTATTTTGCTAGGAATTTCTTATTGTGCATGTGCAAGGCAACAACAGGTAGCTATTATATAACTGGGGTGTGCCAGACAAGAGATCAATGCTTGAATCAATGTTCAGTCCATTGGCATGTTGTTATAATTCTTTGATTGTAAAAGAATTTGTAACTGTGGTAAAACTACAACGGATACATCTTACTTAAAGCAAACTAATATTTGCGCAAGCTCTTCTAATTACGTAAGAACTTCAACCTGTCCACTTAAAGCTACAGACTTCCATAATGTTGTCTGAGGAGGACCATGTTTATGAGAGAGAGAAAAGTAGGAAAAGTAGTATTTGTGTGAGAGAAGAACAGCAAGAAAACTTACTAAAAATTCCAAGAACTTATAAACTTTGTAGCCTACCGTGATTTGTCAGTTTGTGTGTACAATCTCTCCTGATCTGGGACAAAGCAAGTCACGCTGGCTTTCACTCCGCTTTGACAACTTGACTGCTGCAACTTCAGATCATGTGTTGACATTATAGGCTAACTGTATCTGGCTTGGTTTTGGTTACCTCCCTTTAATCCCTCCGGGCATCAGCTGTGCCATTAAGTACCCCCACAGGCGGCTCGACTGAACATTCCACCGGAGAAGATAGCGCGCGGTGAGGCAGACCCGTCATATCGACAACCGTAAGACCCGACGCCACCCGTTTCTTTCCCACCAAGGCGTGTGTTATCGAGGGCACAGCCGCGGAAGTGCGGAGTGAGCTTGTGCTTCAGCAACAAACTCCGTACTTTGAAATGTCAAGTTTATTACGGGACTAATGTAGACAGTGATAAGCATACACCTAGACATAACATTTTCCTGTATCATGTGTCAACTAGTTATATTTCGGATTTTGTTCTTTTACCTGAGAGACCAAAGGGGTTTCGTTTCAAAACTGATTTTAATTTAAATAATGCATATACCTATTTTTAAAAACGTGTTATCTATGATGGCAGATAAGGACCAGAGGATAAACAAGCGATGACTGAAGAATAGTAGGCCCTACGTGTGTTTTTCCTTGAATACCCTATAGGTAGGGTCATAAACAAAAGTGAATGACATTTCCGCGAATCGATTCTTTAGAACAATTCGTTTAAAGAACCAGTTAAAATGATTCAGTGATTAATTTACGTCAAAACAATAGTTTTGACGTAAATGAAATGTTTGAGATGCGCCTCGCCTCGCCTGAAATGTAGGCGAGAGCAGGCGGCTGCAGTGAGGGGAGGAGTTAAATAAACGCAGTCAAGACGGACAGTTCTGACCTCTCGAAGTGGAAGATAACTACGAGATCAAAGGCAGATATCGCTTATTCACACTCATGTGATGTGTTGCTAATTAACATGATGTTAGGTGCGTTCGACTTGAAGCACCGCTACAGACGGCAGTCAACTAGAGTAGCCGCTTGAAGTCGGGGGCGGAGTTGAAAACGGAGCTGTCAAGCCGGACACTTTCTGCTCCCGTTAGTGACGCTCGCGCGGTGTTTGCATACTCTATCACAGATGTTGTCTCGTCGCTCCGGCCGGACAGGGCATCACAGTTTGGTAGGGGCATAACATTTCTGTCACACACTTGAAGTATTCGGCCAATCACAACGCACTGGATAGCTGGCCAATCACAGCACACCTTGCTTTTCAGACCGATGAACTTTGTAAAAATCGACGCGTTTCAGAAAGGCGGGGCATAGAAGAGAAACAATAATGTACAGTATGTGGAAAATAATGTGCTTTTTTAACCTTAAACCGCATAAACACATTTCATTACACATTTCAAGTACATTTCCCTTAATCACTCTGTCAAAGTGCAACTGAGGTTTACTGAGAAGAAAAATATTGAATAAGTGGTGAATAAAATGGAAGGGAAAATCATTCCTAATTAAGATTTTTTTTCTTGTCAGTAATCAAGAGGGATGGATTGCTGGTCAGGCATTCTGCTTATTCGGCAAAGATTAATAGGCTCAGAGCAGGATTCCTAATTATTTTATGTAGAAATACTAGAGGTCATCAGTTAGACTCATTAGCCCCACTGGCTTGAGGCAAGAAGCCTGGTTGTAGTTTTGCATTGCTGAAGGGTGTGCTACGCAGATACACACATACATTGACTTGAATAAAATAATTGTGATGAACCACTCTATTGTGTGTTTCGAGGCGGGGGGGAAAGTGTTCTATAAAGATGTGATGTTTGTTTCCAGACAAAGGCAAAATAATCAGCCACCACAATTATAAATCTTGTCATGGAGTGATACTTATCTCGATCCATTATAGCAATGTAATTTAATTCTGTAATAAAATCTAAACAGTTTTAATTGACTCTGCTGATTAAAACAGAAACCAATATAGTGCAAAAGGGCATAACTTGTATGATAAATTCATCTTTAGCCTAATGTCTCTCAGGTTTTTGGCACAAGCTTGGTTTGATCATGGTGCTGGTTGTAGTAGTCCGTTATTTGGATGGAGTTACATATTTCATGGATGGCTTGTCATGAACCGGCAGTGCTGGAAAATGCATTATCTCCTGGAGAGATTATGACAAGGCCAATTCATAACTGTGAATTGATTTTCTTAAATGCTGGCTGCAATATGGCAGTGTATTCAGAGCATGTATTGTGGTGGTTAGCATAATCAAGGGTTTATACGTTCCTAAAATAGCAATCACTAAATATAATCAGCAAATCAGAAAGACCTCAGTATATTGAATAGAACACATTTTGCTCCAGGTAATGAGTCAGTGCGGTTTCACACAATACCGTATATTTTAATACGATATTATTATTAGAGGCAGTGGAAGAGGAGGTATATTACTAACCAGACAGTTATGATGGTTGTGGCATAGCTTATATAAAACGTCATCATGGCACCAGATAAATATTCTTAAACTGTATTCCTAAACTGTATTAAAGGAATAGTTCACCCAAAAATTTGTTGAACATTTACTCACCCTCAGTCCATCAGTTAATATCTTGTGAAGTGAAAAACTGCATGTCTGTAAGAAATGAGTTCTCTATTCATAATATTGTGTTGTCCATTGAAAAAGTTGTTTCGTCTGAATTGGGTGAAAAACACACACAGATTAAGCAACAACAAGAGCGAGCAAGTGAAACGAGGTGATGGAATTTTTTCAATGCCTGAAGCGTTATTATGAATTATAATGATTCAAACGCGAGAAGCAATGGTTTAAAATGAAAACATCTTGATGAATTTGTTTCTTATAACATGCAACTTTTCACTTCATAAGACATTAACTGCTGTACTGGAGTCATGTGGATTACTTGTGGATTATTGTGATGTGTTTTTATCAGTTGTTTAAACTCTCGTTCTGACGGCACCCATTCACTGCAGAGGAACCATTGGTGAGCAAGTGATGTAATGCTAAATTTCTCCAAATCTATTCCATCAAAGAAACAAACTAATCTACATCTTGGATGGCCTTGGAGGGTGAGTAAATTTTCATTTTTGGGTGAACTAGTCATTAAATGCAAAACTCATTGGCATGCACTGCAGTTTAAATTAACTATATGGGAGTATCACATTACTTAAAACATGGTTCAGAATAAGATTTATTTTGCCAGATATTGCCATGACTAATTAATGACATGGTCCATAAAGGGCATAAATTTGATACTACAGTAATTAAAGTTGCCTTATATACAGCTAACTAGCTGAAATCTACAGCTGACCAAATCCTGTCTTTAAGATGCCTTGAGCTCATTAAGCACCAAGAACATCTTTATTAATTGACAAGACAATTGTTTAATTAAAAACCCAGAACCCTGTCATTCTGCAAGACCGAGAGAACATTTGAGCAGTATGCTTGTGACTGGTGACTCAGAGGTTAACCGTGGCAGCTGGCAGCCGTATTGACTTCTGGGTAATTATACTTAAGTGGTGACTAGAGGAGGCAAATGGCAGTAACAGATTATCTGTTTTGAGGGGATGCATTCTTAGAATCAATAAGAGTCCATTTGTGGAAATAGGGCAATTTAGGAGAAAATACACCCGTTCTTGGTCCTAACAGAAGTCATTTGCCCCTGCTACCATACTGTAGGTCTTTAATTTTTGCCCCAAATCTCTCATAGTTAAATTAAGAAATAAAACAGAGGGATAAATAGGGAAAACAGTAGACATCAACAGATTCTCTGAATAGCAGTTTTATCTTGGTTTGTTTTCCTGTGTCTGAAAACAACATTAAAAATGAGAACGAGAAATTATTTTAATACACTACCATTCAAAATTTTGGGGTAAGATTTTTTTTAAAGAATAAATTCAGCATGGACACATTAAATTGACTAAAATTGACTGCAAAGACATTTATAATGTTACAAAAGATTTCTATTTCAAATATATGCTGCTCTTTTGAACTTTCTATTCATCGAAGAATCCTGAAAAATTGTATCAGAGTTTCCACAAATATATTAAGCATAACTGTTTTCAACTTAAAAACAATAAATGTTTCTTGAGCACCAAATCAGTATATTCTAATGATTTTGAAGGATCATGTGACACTGAAGACTGGAGTAATGGCTGTTGAAAATGCAGCTTTGCCATCACAGGTAATTTAAAATATATTAAAATAGAACACGAATGCTAATAATATTTCTGTTAATAATACTGTTTAACTGTATTTTTATCAAATAAATGCGGCCTTGGTGAGCAAAGATTTCTTTCAAAAACATTAAAAAATAAATAAAAATAGGACCCTAAACTTTTGAATGGTCTTGTATGAACATTTTAACATACACTAATTTTTATTTGCATGTTTTCATGTGTTAGCCTTCAGACATGCTGCCCTTCTGGCTCATCCAGTAATTACTGATTACATTAATTCTGGTATGAGCATCCAGTCACCAGCTGATGGCAGCCCACGGAGCCAATGCCTTTTGGGACAGGGAGGCTGTTGGGGAAGTCAATGACTTCTCTAAGTGATGAAGGAGAGCAGACTGAGATTGCAGTCCGGTCCATTCGGGTCTCAGAGGGGTCGTAAATAGATTTGCTTGTTAAAGAAGTACTTTTCCCTGGCTGATTTTACCGCACTTACACTTCCCTCAAGCCCTTCCAAATCTGGTTCTTTCCTCAATTTGCACACAAACACCCTAGAAGGTGAAAGAACAGAATAGAAGCAATTTCTTGTGACGTATATGTGAAAGAATCCTCTCAAATGCAGCCATCACTCGGCTTGCCTGATTTACAGGGCCAAATCACTTAGACTCTTACAGTCAATCAATTGCATTTACATCTATTGCGACTCGGCCAACCAGAGTCTCCCTAGGAGACAGCCATTAATTGGCTTGTGCAGCAGTATGGACCACTGATCAATCCCAATCAACCCATGTGAAGCGTTCATAATAGAGCACTAATACGTATGCAAGCCAAGCCAAACTCACACTTACAATATCCCAGAAGTGAATTATGGCAAAAGATGATACGGGTCAATTATCAGTTGGGTTGGATATACGAGTTATTGGAGATGGAAGTATATGCGTATAGATTTGAACACAGAGACTCTTAAATGGATCCCAGGCACTCCCTCTCTTTAATGTTCCCTTAATCTCACATCACCAAACCGTAGGCTTTAATCCAATCAGCAAAGAGCTTGTTCTCATTTACCCAGAAGGCTTGAGGGGCTCATCATACATCTGTGGTGGGGTGAGCCATGATGGGATGGTCTCTTTCACCCTACATGTCATTTTTCACAGCTTGAGTTTCCCTTTTGTCCTCTTTAGAGACATCCATTCGAAGGAACCTAGAAGGAAAGATGATGAAATAAGTCAATACCAGCTATCAATGGATTTTTCTTTAGGACACTAAAGCAATCTACATTTTATGATTGCTCAGAAATAATCCACTCATAGGATTATTAATTCAATTAAAATCAAGCTTATTTTTAGGTACAATAATGCTCAGTGGAACCAAATATGCTCTGAGACTTAACAACCCATTGGCACATCATTTTAACTAGCTTGTACTCTTGACAATAAGAGTACATGCTAATGAGGAAAAAGTTCATAGGTCAGGTCATCCTAAAGTGGCACAAATGAACAGTACAAGTGTTTTATTGAAACATTCGGCTGCTAGTCAGATTTCCAATAGAGTTCCAACTCACCAACGTCTCAAAAATGTGTCAGTGTATCAGGATGGGGTCTCAGAATGGTAAAAGTGTCACATAAAACGTGAATACATTAGAAGCCAATCTCTTAAAAAAGGTTGCAGCATCTGTTGACACAAAGCAATAACATTAGAACCCTTTGGATCCACCTCCTTTCGCAGGAAAGCACAGTTCATTCCTTTAATGTGAACCATTCATGCCCTAAACCTGATGCCGCTGATTACTTCTGGGCAATTAAGTGCACTGATAGAATGAACTCGGTGTGACTTTGATGCCTGATCTGAAAAGAAGACAAGACAGAAAAGGGGAGAAACAGTGAGAAGCAGATGATGAGAGCGGAGAGTTATGTGATGTTCTGGCAGAGCTTGCAGACTGGGCCCATTGTCCTGGCTTGCAAAATCAGCACTACCCCATTCCTCTGGCCCAGTTAAGACGTTCTTTCTGCAAGCTGGCCGGTAGTGCACTCAGCTTCCTCGTTTTTCGTGATTGCCTGACATTTCTTTTCTCTTCTCTGCTGCTGGTGCTTCCTGCCTGATCTTCTTAATACCTCTGCTGACAGGGTCCTAGTAATAACGAAGCTGCCTTTTTATTGACAATGTGCCACAGAATATCTCGGTGTCGTTATCGAACACTCAAGGAACAGAATGGCATTTTCAGTGGGGAATAAGTAATCGATAGGGAACAGCAAATTAAGTAATAGCATTTTTGCGTTGATGCATATTACAGCTCAGTTAACAGCCTTCGGATCGGCAAGGCTCCGCGCTGCAGGATGAACGGATCAATCCATGCACAGAGCTGACGTCTCGCTTTGACAACATAATTAGTTATCATACAGAGAAACGTGTTTGAGGACAATATGAAAACCTCCCTTGGATATTCAGCTCATGAATCAGAACCATGAAGAGGCAGTCAGGGAAACCATGTGATCCTCTATGAGGAAAACAGCTTTTTAAAAGTAGAGAGATGAATAACTGAAATGAAGGGTGTCAGCTGAGAAGAGATGATTTTGTTAATGGGAGGTCTGACAGGAAACAGGATACATCTGTTTATGTATTCACATGATTTTGCTGTCAATCCTAATTCACTTTGTTTTGTTTCTAAATAGGTAATTATATTATTTTATAGTAAATAAACTGGAATCCTTGATTCTGATTGTTCAGCTGAAGCATTCTGTGGTCAAATATTTTTTTGTATAATTATTTCTAAACTGTATTTTTACAATAGTTCTAAGTCATTTCTTGTGGCCTTTATCTTTTCACATATTAAAATAATTTCAAATCAGTATTTATGGCTTTATTTATTTGGTCAATAGCTGTGCAATAAGCAGGATGAAGTACAATCAGATGGTCAATATTGCAAAATAAACCCCAACAGGGTCATCAAGACTCAATGCAAAGACCATCTAGTGATCTGATGAATATGCATTATCCTTTTCATGAAACGTAATTACCTTCACTTGTATAAATGTGGTATTGTTATGAAAGTGGTTGACCCACCAGTACTCAAGAATTAGATCAAACCTTACATCAGGATCACTCGAGACAACTGAGGTCCCAGGGTACTTGGAAGGTTTTCAGTTAAATTTGGCTTGTTGAACCTATAAACAGAAAAAAAAATTAAAATTATTTTAAAATAAAAATGCCACTTGTCGAAAATGTCTAAAAGGTTGCCTATATACCATGGGTCATAAATGAAACTGACACAAATCCATCTGCTTATACTGCAGCATGACTGTATTATATTGACAAATTTGACATACGATCTCCAAGTCTGCATATTATCAGTTTTGTTTCCACCTTTATGAACCGAGACATAATAATTCGGCTGCGTCTTTTTGGTTCTCTAAATTGGATACATATAATTCAAGCCAAGGGTGTTTTCACCTCAGCCATTGACCCAATCACGCTTAAATCATTTTATACACTAAAACTGTGACCTGCCCCATCATCCACCTTATAACTGGAGCCTGAGGCGTGTGTTGCACTTAATAAAGGAGGTGATGAACATCTGCGCCCTGTTCGATCACCTGCAGTACAGTACAGCCCAGCCAGCCAGCCACGCGTGAGGGAAGCATCACTGCCATACAGAAGTGGAGCAGCCGCGCGCTCGAGAGTGGAGGCGCGTCACTCTATCTCTCCAGATTCAGAGGCGCTTTTCAGAGTGTCAGACCAGCTCGGTGGAAATTATGTCTTTGAACACTATGAAGAAGAGACCATTCGAATAAACGTTAAATAAGGCCCCTGACTGGAACAAGTCTGTTTGAAGTTCACTCCATTATCTAAAAACAGCCATAAAAATGAGCACTTCTGTTCTACAGAAACTGGTATGCTGATGAACCATCCTGTGGAGGAGAAGCTTGCGTGGTCATGTATCACCAGCCTACAGCTCTCGCTGGGCCTGGTGGGCCATATCTTTACCAGTGGAATGATGACAGGTGCAATATGAAGCACAATTTCATCTGCAAGTATGAACCAGGTAGGTGATTTGCACTGTGAACTTTTTGAGTCAAAAGTTACTTGATTAACCTGAATTCACCCTACTAAAGTGGTTTAGCTTACAATGTTTGTTATGTTGTTCTGAGCAGAAAGTTACCTGGTAAAAGTGCAGAGCGACACGCCTGGAGGGCCTGATGTTGGTAAGCAGCCAGGTGTCAAATCCGTCATCATTTGACTTAAAGAGTTACAGATGTGTTGACACTAATCTGTTAATGTGCCCTTCAGATCTTTCCTCAGAAGAACAAGAGGAGAGGAGAACATCTCCTGTCGACCAGGATGAGAACCCCCAACTTGTAATGCCAGGGCACTCAAGTAACAGTCGATTTTAAATTCTTAAAGGAATATTCAGAGTTAAGCTCAATCAACAGCATTTGTGCCATAATGTTGATTATCACAAAAAACAATTTTGACTTGTTCTCCCTTTACTTTAAAAAAGCAACAATCTGGCTTACTATAAAATGGAAGTGAACGAACCCAGTCTGTAAATGTTAAAATACTCACTTTTATCAATAGAAGGCTTAAACTATATGCAAGTCAGATGTTAGATTTTAGAAAAATGCTTACTAACCTTTTATGTGTAAAGTTACATCTGGTTTTAGACATTCATTGCCATGACAACAGAATGCCATAAACACTAAACCCTAACATAACGGTAAAAATAATTAATTAAATAGCTCTATAGAACAAAAATATGTTTTAACAGTGCAGTACTGTTCAAAAGTTTGGCGTCAGTAAGATTGTTTTAAAGAATTAATATTTCTATTTTTTTATTTACATTTTTAAACTATATCAAAATACAAAACAGTAATGTTAAATTGTAATAATATTTCACAATGTTACTATTTTTTTACTGTATTTTTGATTAAATAAACACTACAATGGTTAGCATAAGAGACTTTCAAAAACAAAAAAATTTACAAATTCCAGACTTTTGAATAGTTACTTTTTGCAAGTACTTTTATAAAAGTATAAGCATCATGTTTTTAAATTTCTGCTTTTAAATCCTCTAAAAAATTGCCCCATTCACTTCTATTGCCTCACTGTAACCCTTGATTTTTCAGAAAAAAAGAGGTGAGTGAAAATAGTATTTTTGCAGTAGCCAACATTAAACCACAAATGCTGTCAATTGAGTTATTGAACCCAGAATTCAACTCAAAATAAATGCCTGTATGGGATTGGAAGTCAAAGTGTGTTTTTTTCTTTCCCAGGTATGCTGCTAATCTATGTGATTATCCCTACCATCCCTTTCCTCTTGCTGATCCTGGTAGCTTCAGGAACGTGCTGTTTCCAGATGTTGAGCAAGAGGTGAGCCATTAGGATCAAATCACTGTAAACGCTGTCAGACTAATGCTAATGTGCTGTCCTATTATGCACAGTATCATCCAAATACTGCGTCACATCAGGAAGTCAGTGTCTCACTAACAACCTTTGTGTCTTGATTAATAAGGATTTCGGCTCACTAGCCGAGATCTGACACCATCCTCTGTTTTTCTCGCTAACCCAGAAGTTTTACTGTGATTAATTAGATTCAGCTGTTTATAACTGAGCCCGGCAAAACAGCTTAGCCCGTACTAATCACCATCAACACACTTATTATAGTGTGCATTTATCATATTTGTAGGGGGGAGGGGTTTGCCTGCCACATTACGTCACACTGCATTGGAGACAGAGTCCAACTTGACTTCTATTCCCATCAATATCCCGTTTTGCAGGGAATTGCTGAAGCAAGCTGTTCCCATCCTCTGTTCTCACCCCGCAACATAGAGCACAAAACAGTTAATCTCAGCCCATGCTTGGCAAGACATTATATAGTGGCTTATTTGTGTAATTTATTATGTTTATATGGCTGACGCTCCCACAGAGTGATGTCTTTTTAACATATTTCCAATCACTGTGGCAGATGAGGGGATCCTGAGACAATACATTTAATCACTGGCAATGACTGAGTGCGCTCCATTCAGTAAAAGGCTTCCTGGAGCGAGTTCAAAGCTTTTGGAAAAACGTCTTAAGTCCTTAACAGATGATGCTTCTCTGTTTTACGATGTTTGCTTCTGGTTCTCATGATTAAATACTATCATAAGACCAGGATGAGTCACGTAACAGCTGCTTAGCATTCGGTCTGCTTATTGTGTATACCTTTAAATGCACTGTCTTCCATGCATTGTGCTATAAAACCTTCCCAGTAAAACTCAACAACAAATTATGTAAATGACAAAGGCGACATGGAGATTCATGTGGGGAAATTGGCCTGTTTCACAATGCACACACAAGCAATACATATGTCTGTGCCCATATCAAGAGATTATAATATAAAAGTATAACACATCTACCCATAGAGGGTGCATATTAGGGTGCATATTTTCATTAAAGAAATGAAAATTTTGTCATCAACTCAACATCATATCATTCCAAAACTGTATTAGTTTCTTTTTTTATTAATTAATTAAATAGAATTAATGAACAATTACATTTATTAAATTATTAATACATTAAAAAAATTTTAACAGTAAACCACGGACCAAAACGAACGTTAACCAATCAACTCTCTGGATCTCCAAGACGCCAAAGATAGACAGTGGCATGGAAGTTTAAAGAATCATCTCTACGATTCAAACAGCTCCCTTTTTTCTGGCTTTGTCTTCTATGTTGCTTGATCAGCAACATTCTCGCCCGGTGGTTAGTTTAGTGTGTGATTTAATATACTAGCTAAAATGTGCAGCACCGGCAGAGCAGTTACACACATATCGCATTTCTGTACATATGTTGTGCTCTCACAAATTACTGAAGTCTATGAGTTTTCCGTTCACTCCCATGACCTTCGTCTCCATTTCATGTTTCTAGTCAGATAGTCTGACCTGAATCTACTGCTGCTTATGGAGGGTGAATACTAATTGGCACCAAACACAGTGAGCAATTAAATTACTGTAATTAAAGCAAGTACAAGTGGGAACCACATAAAAAGAGGAATTAAGACATAGGCGGAGCGTGGCCACGGGGACTTGGGGCAAAAATGCCACTAAATTGGACAAAAATGACTACTTACGCAAACGTTGATCACACTACAAACAATACAAAACTGCTATAAGAAACAGAAAATATTAATTAATTGTTTACCTGGGTCTTCAGTCTATGATTAGCTCACCTCACCTCTTATCTGACAATTCTTCAGGTTTGAGTCGTTCGTTCAACACGTGACAGCCCCATAAACTTAACCTATGCAGTCTGAGCCGGAAAGAGAATTGATTGGTTCATCTCTCGAGTCTTCGGGTTTGAGTCATTCGTTCATCACGTGACAACCCCATAAATTTACCCTATGCAGTCTGAGCCGGAAAGAGAATTGATTAGTTCATCTCTCGAGTC